AAATATTTTCTATTTGTCGTCACCTGAATATTTTGTTGAAAAAAGATTCTGCCAATGACTAGAACTGGTACTTCTTTGGTGGAAAACAATGGGATCATAGCATAAAGCCTCACCTAGTTCAAATTCAAAGTAGCTAACAATATACAGACAATTAACATTTTGTCCAGGCAAAAAAAAAAAGAGGGTATAACAATGTACTGAATGTGTGAATATGACTGAAAAACAAGTCAACACAGACAGAAATGTCTATTTAGGAGCTTACTGTATATAATATATGTGGCCTTGCATGACCATTCCTCCAATTAAACGAATTTGACATGCGGTGTTCCGCAGAGCTCCATCTTAGGACCAATTCTCTTCAGTTTGTATACCACTCGGCAATATTATTAGAAATCACAACATCAATTTCCACAACTATGCAGATGATACTCAGCTATATATCTCTGTGAATTCAGAAGACTACAATTCAATCAATAAGCTGATAGCATGTATGTCTGACATAGGATTGTGGATGAATCAGAACTTTTTACCATTAAACCAAGATAAAACTGAGGTTCTTGTTATTGGAGCAAAAGCTGAAAGAGAAAAGCTGTCTGACCACCTAAAATCATTTGCAAAAAAGAACATGTAAAAAACCTTGGTGTTATAAATGATCCTGATCTTAACTTTGACCATCACATTAAAAATGTAATTAAAGTGTCATTTTATCACCTAAGGAACATTGCCAAAGTCAGACCGTTTCTCTCCCAGGCAGATACAGAAAATTGATTCATGCTTTTATCTCCAGCCAACTGGACTACTGCAATGCTCTTCTGTCTGGTGTGTCCAAGAAAGCTATTTCTAAGTTACAGCTCATGCAAAATGCATGCAGCATGTGTTCTGACAAAAACCAGGCAGAGAGCACACATCACTCTAGTTTTAAAATCACTACATTGGTTACCTGTCAGTCAAAGAATACATTTTAAAATCATTTTATTGGTTTTTAAAGCTCTAAATGGCCCTGCCCCATCTTATCTGTCTGACATGCCCAAAATATATGTGCCTTCAAGGTCCCTAAGATCCTCAGATTCAAATCTCTTGATTGTTCCGAAGGTTACAACAAAAAGGCCTGGTGAGGCAGCCTTTACTTATTATGGCCCTAAACTCTGGAACAGTCTACCTTAGGGTCTTAGGAGCTCTAAATCTGTTGAAACTTTCATACAAAATCTTAAGACACACCTTTTCGCCATTGTTTTCTTGAAATGTGTTTTTATGTATTTATGCTTTTACGAGGCATTTTTTATTCATGCTTTTATTTTGTTTTAATTTCTAACAAATGTCTTGATTGTCTTTTCTGTTCAGCACTTTGTGTTGCATTTTATGCATGAATTGTGCTGTATAAATATGGTTATTATTATTATTATTATTATAATTATTATAAAAACACTTTTAGAAAACCAAGCCATTGGTTTATCATTTCTGTACATTTATGACAGTCTATGCTGCCTGTAAGGAGTTTAAATTTACTGTGGATGTCTGGAGTGTCATTAACTACAAACACCATAAACCATTGAGCCAATCGCTTGCCATTGATTGGCTAAGAGGCCTTAGTGAGACAGGCCCTTTCTTTGAACTCAGGCTCGCATTGGCTATTGAGGCCATAGCAACAGCATTGGAAGCTCCTACTGGCTCAAGTGAGGAATTAATCAAAAGGTCAGGAGTTTGCCACCATTTTGACAGCAAGGAGTCGGTATATTTACACGCAAACAATAGAAAGTATGGATAATATGTGGAAAAATATAAATGCTTGAAATGATGCAGCAGCAGGTTGTGGATATCTATGGATGTAATTATGTGTTTGGACTAAATATTTCACTGGATTAAGATCATCTGGCTCTTTGGGAGTGTATGAACACTGCATAAGCAGCATTTTGTTGGTACGATAAAAGCTGTCCTTTACCTCGGCATGATATATGGTTGGTTGCCATTATAGTTTAATGGCGCTTGGTGGCGGTGGGGGAAAACATGGCGGGACAAGAACAAAAGTCTGAGTGGGGTGGGAGAGATGGCTGGTGGATGGATCCAACAAACATCGTCTTTCACCCGGGAGAGCGGAATTCATGTCCTGTAAGATTATAAAGCCAAAACCCTGTTCTTTTTCCCTAAACCAAATCACATAATTTTGTTGCCTAAATCCAACCACATGCGTGGAAACAGAAGTGTATTTTGAAAGAGGACAATGCGTGTAATAGGCATAACTTGACACAGTGTCCCAGAACGTTAACAACTAATGCTCCCAGGGTACTTTTCACATTGTATCTGGATGTGGAAGGTCCATGACCGAACGTCGATATGTGATGAGGTCAGAGTGAAAATGTGTTGTTCGAATAGGTTGTATGAGTAAACCAATTAAACAGCAGCAAATACAGCAATTGTTTACGTATCATATTCATCAAATAAAACCTTGCAAGGACCTGAAGACAGGACATGAGCCTTTGTGCCTGGATAGTGTGACGTGTGTGATTGTGCTGCTGCAGTGATCCTGCCTGATGCCTCCTGCTGCTGCTGTTATCATTAGTCATATACTTCTACTATTATTATACACATATGATTATTGTCACATACATATACTATCATATATTAATATATACCTACAACATATTGTACCACTATAATAATTATTATTGTAATATTATTATTACTTAAATTAATATTGTTGTAAGCTACTGTCACTACTGTCTGTACTGCATCTCTCTCTGTCTCATTTTCTGTATCATTTTGATCTGTTCTGTACGACATCTTTTGCATGTCTGTCCGTCCTGGAAGAGGGATCCCTCCTCAGTTGCTCATCCTGAGGTTTCTACCAAATTTTTTTTTTCCCTGTTAAAGGGTTTTTTGGGGGGAGTTTTTCCTTATCCGCCCTCTGAGGCAAATTGTTATTTGTGATATTGGGCTTTATAAATAAAATTTGATTGATTGATTGATTTCTGGCTCCCTGTAAAATCCAGAATTGAATTTAAAATCCTACTGTTAACTTATAAAACTCTAAATGGTCAAGCTCTGTCATATCTTAGTGAGCTCATAGTGCCATATTATCCCACCAGAACACTGTGCTCTGAGAACGCAGGTTTACTCGTGGTCCCTAAAGTCTCCAAAAGTAGATCAGGAGCCAGAGCCTTCAGCTATCAGGCTCCTCTCCTGTGGAATCATCTTCCTGTTACGGTCCGGGAGGCAGACACCGTCTCCACATTTAAGACTAGACTTAAGACTTTCCTCTTTGATAAAGCTTATAGTTAGGGCTGGCTCACGCTTGCCCTGTAC